TACAACCTTAAACTTACACAGTGTTATACGTAAGTTAAATCTCAATAAAGCTGGAAATACACATGTATAAGGAAACTAGCCCAGATTCTGCACTGGGTATGGCCCACGGCGGACCATTTTAAGAAAATTGCTGGTAGGATGTGTTGCTTTGTGTTGCCCGGCTCCACCACTAGGGGGAAGTCTCATCTATTATGTTACATTTTCAGGGCTCCCCATTTAACCTCCATTGTAGTATAGGCAGGTTGGATACAGGATGGTTTTCAATACATTTCTTGTCCTTAAAGAATATGCCGGCAAATGTGGTATTCTATAAAGCAGCTTCCCGGAAAAAGATTTAGGACTGGCTCTTCAGTATTCTAGCCACCAGTAAGGATTCCAAATATTCTTTGCGCTGGATAACCCCACACAGCGCTGAGCACCTGACTTCAGGCCCCTCGCATAGTCCTCACAGCAGTCCTGTGAGGTGATGGCCACTTTTTCCTCCCACTGCCCAAGAGGAAACGAAGGCTCCGAGGGACTGAGTACCTTGCCCGCATAGCCCAGCACGTGGGGAGTCACGGGCTTGGATCCCGGTGGCTTCCAGAAGCCCGTGTCCTTAGCCACACTGCCTCCTACACAAGCACCAGAGTCATACCGCCATCACTCCTGACGAGGTGGATCAGGGCACGTCTGAGCGATACCTGGGATAGCTCCTCACATTTTTTAATTCTGGCTTTTTCCGTAGGATACAATTCTGTTAATTTTGCTGCCTGTTTCTAGGAACTCACAGGTTTTAATTCTGAGTACTCTTGAGTTTTAAGGGGTTTGTTACTGCCGAGTATGCTGTCGTTCTAAATGTCCATTGTACCTTTTCAGAATGAGCTTCCGGAACCTGAACAGGACAACGGCGGCACCACAGAATCTGTCAAAGAGCAAGAGATGAAGTGGACCGACCTGGCTTTACAGTACCTCCACGAGAACGTGCCCCCCATGGGAAACTGAAGCCTGGCCCCTGCTCCTGGGCGGGTGGTTTTAAATACACAGATACAGATTGTTTTCCTTCAGTCTCCTAATTCACATCTTTTAGTGGTAGATCAACACTCAAAAATGTACATCCACTTACTTAGTGGCAGCAAAGTGGGATGTGAAAATTCTCACCAGGGTGAGGAAGCTGACTGAGAGTCTCAGAAATGCAGGGTGTTTGGCCCTTTGAACCTAAAGTTCTTTATTTACTAGTTTGTGTTTGAACGTGAGTCATTAAACATTTGCCTTTAACTCTGCGTTTGCTTTACTGTCAGAGTTTAACACTTCCCAA